TGGTGAGATCCTTAAAGACGGGGTCTTGTGGGAGGTCCCTAGGTCCCTGAGGATGTTCCCTTGAAGGGGATTGTGTGAGGATGGTCCTATGGTACAGATTAGAACATCCCCCCAAAGTCTCATATGTTTAGAAGCTGGGCTTTTTAAAGGTGATTGGATCCTGGGGGTGCTGTACTCACTGGTGAATTAATCCACTGGGGAGCTCATAGCTGACTGTGTCAGAGGAGGTAGGTCTCGCAAGGAACAGGCAATGACTGGGGCTGTAGCGCGGAAGGGCTTATCTCCCCCCACCCCAGCTCCTTCCTTCACTTTCTGCTTCTTAGTTACCATGACATGAGTGGTTTTTTCCTCTGCCCTGGTCCTTCCACCATGGTCTTCCTGCCTTAGAGCCAGCTGACCATGGACTGAACCTACCACATGCACTGCAACTATGAACCAAAATAAATCTCTCTTACTTCAAGTTGTGAGTATTGGGTATTTTGTCCCAGCAGTTAGAAAGCAAGCAAGACTCCTGGTCTCTTCCTTTTCCACTTTGCTTCCTGGCTGATGAGGGATGCATTTTTGTCAGCCATGTGCTCCTGCCACGATGTGCTGCCTCTCCAAGGGTCCAAAGCAATGACCTCTTGATCACAGACTGGACACTTTAAAACAGTAAGCCAAAATAACCTTTTTCTCTTTATAAGTCAATTAGCTGAGGTACTTTGTTATAGTAGTGGGAAGCTGACTAATCCTTCTCCCAGATTATAAACTCTAGAGATGAGCAGGACAGACAAGAAGGGAAAATGACCCAGGGCAGACTATTCTTTTTAGAAGTCCACCCCATTATAAATGACAGCATGAATCTTCCCCGCCTGGCCAGAGCCAGGTGCCAGCCAATTTCTTTCCCATCAGAGAGCAGGAAAAATGTAGCAATCAGGACCATAGACTCTCTCCCCAGCAGCCTGGGTTTACATCTGGATGTTTAATACCTAGATGGCCTTGGACAAGCCATTATTTCTTTGTATCTCAATTTTTTGACCTGTAAAATGAGGAGAAAAACAGGAACTTCCTCACTGGATTGACGCCAGAATTTAATGAGAATTGGCAAAGTACTTAGAATAGTGTCTAGCACACAAGCTTTATTAATTATATAAATTTCAAACATTACTTTGAAAAAGGTGCTTTAAAAATCCATTCTAAAGCCAGAATACTTTTCACATGCACTGGGGCCCTTGTTTATTCCATGTTTGTTTTAAGAGGACCCATTTTATTAGAGGAATAAGTTAGGTATCCATCTGTTGAATTCTCTTAAAGTGAGGTAAGCATGTCACTTCCTTGTGCCAGTGGCAAGAAGGGAGATATGCTAGGATGTGTGGCTGGATTATTATGAAACACTCATCTCAGAAGTATGTAGAGGCTCCTAAAATGTCCTAATTTTGCCTTTCTTGCAGTCTGTCTTCTTTATTTCCTTGTTCTAAAAGTTCTCTCAACAAAAGGAGATGAGAAGCTGTTTTAAATGAAATCTAGGAAAGGACAATATACCTTGCCTCATAGAAGAAAACGTCTATGAATCCACAAACCACCCCTGCTCTGAAAAAAAAAAAAAAGACTTCCTGTATGGTTCTCTCAATTTCCTGTCTAAACAGGAAGTGGCTACTTCCTGTCTTCTGGGACATCCTAGCCAAGATGCTGTACCCAAAAATGCTCACCTCAGCAGAATCATGGACACGAGCTTCCATTATTGTCTTCTATCCAGTGAGCCAGGAGCACTTATAAGCATCAGGGCCCAATGATAATCTCAAACTTTTCACAACTATTACAGGTGTCAACAGGATGGAAACAAAGCCAGAAGCTGTACTAAGATTTGGCCATCAAGTTCCAAAAAGGAGCATTCTGCTTCCTAGCATTTCTTGCCAAGGATGATCTCAGATTCATCTGTTCCCATTCACAATGAGCAAAGGCCTGAATTTTAATAAGGGTGTGGCTCAGTCTTCCCATCTCCTGTTCCTAAAAGTGGGCTGGGTAGGGACGGGTGATGGCCAGAACTGGGAGGAATCCAGAGGAGCATGTCCTCACACTGGCAGGCTACGAAGTCTGTGCCCTATGAGGGTTTTGGCATTCCTCCTTACAGCTCCAGTCCACAGGATTAGCTCTTTCCTGTGGGCCTCTCCACAGATTCTTTTATTTTTTTAATGTTGTACATTTATTCTGGGAATACAGAGTTGGATAAGGCACAGCTTTCTCCTGAGGAGCTCACAGCTGGAACATAGGATAGGGATAAGGAAACACAGGCAATGAAATGTCCTTGTTTGAGGCAGGGTATTTGGGGATGGAGATGCATAAAAAGGGAGGGATTTAATATAAACTGGAAAGTTCCATGAGCAAAGGTCAGGTAGACTGAGGGAGATTAGTTCCTCTCCTGCACTGGAAGCTACATGCATCCCTTAGAACTGATTGACTTTGTTTGCTCAGGAATCTTTGGGTCTTAGGGATTGTGCAGAGACCTACTGGGAAGGAAGTGCCAGAGTACTGATTTGCCCAAGCCCAGAGCAGCCCTCTCTGATGGAGTCTCCAAAAATGGCAGATCAGTACCCCAGCTCCCTTGCTCCTCCAGTAGGATGGCTGTGAACTTGTGTTCTACAGTGTTTTCTGGAATTTGAGCTCCAGTCACCCATAGTGCCAAATGGCATTATAACTTACCTCTTAAGGGCTGCCTCATTTCTCTCCCCCCTCTCTGGGGGCTTCCTGGAATTGCCCCCACCACCACTTCTTGCCCTTGATTTCTTATCTCTGAGTCCACTCTGGGGGAAATACAAGTAAAGATAGTTTTGGAGGAGACATCCATGGAGTCAGCTTTGGGGTTCCCTCTATCCCTGCTCCTAGGAGTCCCAGAGTTTGACAAACATTCCAAGGTCCATTTCCATGGCTCAGAAAAGACATGTGAGATGAGATAACCGGTTTCCATGTGCCCAGAGAGCCAGGACACAGGGCACCCTTCCAGACCCTTCCAGACCCTTCCAGACCTAGAAACACCAACAGTTCCCACCCCCGTCTCATCAGCCTGAAGCTACTGCACAGAGAGTCAGAGCCACTGAAGGACACAGCCCAGCCCACTGAAGGCCTGTGTATGGCCTCAATAGGAAAGCAGAAGGAAAGGAGACTACAAGATGAGATGTATCCTAGGCCAGAAACAGCTTCCAAAGGAGGACACAGAGCATATCCCAGAAATTCCATAACTCCCTCTCCAATGGCTCCTCTGGTGCTCAAATATTTCCAGAGCACCTGCTTTGTGCAACCACAGTCAAACTTGTGCTACTTATAGAAGTCCAAGTGTGGCCTAGACCAGTGCTTACAGGTGCTGGACATGGAAGCCTAGCTTAGAAGGAAGGACAAAGCCAGGAAACTCCCACCCTCCTGTGTTCCTGAGAGCAGAACTTTTCCCATTAAGCTTCAACAGGTTCTAGAAGGAAACCCTTGGGGCACTCTGAATCAGCTGACAGGGAAGGGTTGGGGCGAGGAGGACCCAGCTGCTGGGCTCCTCACCTGATGGAACCAAGACTCTGAGATGGGGAGTTATCTGCCCAGGAAGACTTCCAACTCAGGACCTCTGGGGTGAATGGCACTCAAGTCATGCCAATGGGGGACGAAAAATAGGGCCTCACCAGGCTTTGCATTCTCCAGGATGCATGACAGATTCCAGTCAAGTGGCCTTTGCCTGCGCAAGTCCCTAGAGTATCTGATGATCTGAAGAAAAAAAAATAGTTGACAGAAAAGAAGAAAAAGAGGGATGAAAGAAATGAGGAAAGGAAAGGAGGAAAGAAGGAAGAAAGGAGGAAGGGTGAAAAGGAGGAAGGAAGGAGGGAGGGAAATCTCAGAGGGGTTTTTCCCCAGGAAGGTAAAGTGGAAGGTGAAAGCTGATTTCTAACCCTGGTTCCAGCCCTACTAGAGAACCTTTCATGTCTGGCCAGCAGGTGATCCCTTAGTAACTCAGTGCCCCAGTATTCCCATTTGTCCAATGGAAGTCAGTTTCATCCATTCAGGTATCACTTTTTTTTTTTCTTTTGCAGTGCTGGGGACGGTACCCAGGGTCTTCCTCACGCTAGGCAAATATTCCACCACTGAGCCTCACCCAGCCCTGTGTGTTACATTCTTTACAGGATAACAAGGTCAACAGCAATGGTACCAATAACACACAGGACCCAAAGCATGCTGGGCCCCAACATAAGTATTCTAGGACCCTGGCTTATGGGATGCTCAAGGTGAGCCCATTAGCAGAACCAATCTTGTCCCAGTCGTAGATGGGACACTGAGACACAGTATGGCTAGTTCCGTGTGTGGGTGGCAGTGCTGAGGTGTGAATTCAGGGTGACTTTTGTCAGTGCCAGGCTACAAAGCCTTGGCCCCGGGACCTTGCATCACACGACGGGCCCATCAGCACCTGGAAAGAATATTAGAGGAAGAGTGGAGCATGATGCTGAGGTGGTGGCCAGCAGGCACTGGGTCCCACAGTTCCTTGCCAGACCTGGTGGCTTCCATTTCTAAAGACAGCCTCCTGGCCCTGCCTTCTGCCCCCACTGGCCCTCCCTAACTGGACCACGGTCTCCTGTTCCTGTTAGGAGGGTTGCTCCGAAAAGGAGCTCTGGCCAGGCCCTGGGCCAGGCCGTTGGGGCCCTGCACCCCATTATCATTCTGCCGCCTTCCAAGGGAAATTATAAGCACTTTGTGTCAACTCCCGTCTGTCCTGGCAGCCGCGCCACAGGAAAGCGATTGAGGTCAGGGGAGGCAGACAGCCTACCCATCACGGCCGCCACGGCCATTCCTCACGCGGTGACATGCAATCTCCCGCCGAGGGTCACCTCTGGGGAAGCGATTCCTTCAAGCCCAGAACAAGTGCCAAATTGCAGCTTTGGCGAATAATCATGTGGAACACATTGGAAATAGCCGCCTCTGTAATAAATGGTTAACCAAGGCAGTCCAGTCCTCCAGCGTGGCTGGGGCTGCATTGCCAGTAAATATATTAACCTACCCAGGGCCGCAGCACATGGCCCAGGCACCTGGTTCTCCTGGCTTCCATCGCAGGCAGCCGGGGCAAAGTGCTCAGAAGGGACGAACTGTGGGAAGGAGGTGGGTCAGCTCGGAGGAGGAAGAGGCAGGGGCACCACCAGGACAGAGGAGAGAAGAGTGGCTGGAAGGGGACCTGGTGTTCTGCACCCTGCTGTCACCTCTGTGCTCCTGGGAGCCTGCAAAAGAAGCCCGGCTTGGAGGAAGGGTGAAAAGGTAGGTTTGATTTCCCCTAAGTCCTTGCTGAGGAGAGTCTGGTGTAACAACCCCGGCTCCCCAGGACAAATGTGTGTGTGTGTGTGTGTGTGCTCACGTGCACACAGGCACACACGCAGGAGCCAAGGAGGAGAGGAAGAAAGAGGGAGAGAGGCAGAGGGGGTTGGAGAGAAGAAGGATGAGGAGAGCCAGAAATATAAATGAGAGATGGAAGAAAAAATGGAGAAGATGCTTTGAAGCCCGAAAGCAAGAGAGAGCAATCTAAGACGAGAAAAAGAGCAATGCAGAAAGAAAACACTGAGGCAGAGGGAGGGGCTGGCCGGAGGGCAGAGAAGAGGTGGAGAGAGGGGAAGGGAGAGGGGAAAGCGAGAGCCTTCCAGGCTGGCCTGTGTATCCGCCCACCCGCCCACCGGGAAGGAAACGCTCTTTGTGATGGGAAGCCTGGGGTGACACTCGCAACTCCTTACACCCCTTCGCACTCCAGGGCCTGCAGCACAGGCACACCCTCAAGGACAAACACACACACACCCCCCATCCATGCACATATGCAAACGCACTCACACTCATACACGAACACAGACGCACACTCACGCAGACTGCATGTACACTCAGACACCCATACATACAAACCCGCCTACTCACAGCCCCCACACACATACATGCACACGAACAGACCCAGGCACAAACCTAATCACATACATGCATATTCCATGCGAGTGCACACCCTCCCCTCCTTAGTGTGACCTTTGCACACACACATTCATGTGCATACATACTCATGTGGACACACATTTTCTTGCACCCACACAAGCCCATGCATGCATGCATACCTGCACACAAACATGCACAACACACACACACATCCTCATTTGCACACATGCACACACATGCACAGCCTGCAATTGTTCCCCTCCCCCTGCCCTGAATACAATTCAGCCACAGAACAGATACAGCAATCCAAGGTCTGAGCCAAAGGAAACAGAACAAAAGCCAGGCGGGCTGGGCTAGGGGCTGCGGCGAGAGGCCACAGTCCAAGCCAGGACCTGGGAGAACCAGACACAAGTGGGATGGGAAAGAACCACAGAAGCTGTGGAGACTTCAGAGCGCTCAGCCCAGCCTCCTCCAGCCAGGCCGGAGTCTATGAGGGATCCGGCGGGGCCCAGGCTGCCCAAGGACACAGCAGACCCTGGCTTCCAGGCTGGAGGAGCCCAGCCAGGAGCAGGCAGTTTCAGGCCGAGAGGAGCCTGGCTCCCTGTGCCTGCAGCTCTCCCTTCTGAAGTGGGGGGGCAGTTTCCGGACAGCCCTTTTGCCTTGCTCTCTCTAGCCGCCCTGTTAACTCCCAGTGATTTGCCAAAATTAACAGATTTATGGCAGCACGTTGGTTTGGATCAACTTTTCGTATGTGCTTTGCAAGAGAAAAACATTTTCTTCTCCCCCGACCTACTGTTTGCCCATTAATACGCTCCACATTCGCTGGTGCTTAATGACTGTTCAAATTTTCTCCGTTCACAGAGAATGTTGTTGTTGTGATTAAGGGTGCCAGGGTGCTCGCAAGTACAAACACACCAAAGCCATAAAAAGGGCAATTAATTCTTAAAAAAAATAAAAAAGCAAGAGAATGAGAGAGAATGGATGCTCTGTTTACAGAAGAGCAAGAAAGAAAACAGATATTTCTAAGAAGTGTCCTTACTAGACAGCAGTGGCCCCTGTCCACTCTTCGGAAGACACAAAACAGAAACGTCCACCGGAAATGCTGGCAGGGGACATCTGGTCAGCCAACAACAGTGTCCCCACCTTGGGCACGCCTGGTGTGGGCTGGCTGGTCTGGTCACTAGAGAAGGCCGTGGGTGTGGGGAGGTGGACATCCTGGCTCGACTTCCATCCCAGATCTGCATATATCTCCTGGTGCTTCTGAGCCTCAGTTTACTCATCTGCAGAATAGGGAATGGAAGCCCTGGAGACAGCTGTCAGGATTTCACAGGGGAATGTGGGGGTACAGGAGCCCCTTTCCCAGTGGGACCACGGGGTAGCCAGAATGACGGACAGACAAGTCCTGGCCCAGGTGGGGCTGCTGATCCAGTGGTAGGAGAAGGGAAGGAAATATCTAGAAGCATCTCATGCCTACTCATTACTGTAAAAGCTGAGAGGAAATAAAATGAGATAGAGGACCGAGAATGACCTGGCCGTGTGTGTTGGGGGTGGCCGGTCGGGGTCAGGGCAGTAACTGAGCAGAGACCTGAATGGGGTGAGAACAGAGTCTTGTCAAAGTCCTTCTGCTCCCTTCATTTTTCCTAAAAATATGCTTAAAAAGCACTGACCTTGAAGGACAAGGGACAGCTGGCCCCATCCTGCAAGAGCTAATTGACCAAAGGTCACCACACACACGGGGAATGTTTTCTTTCCCAAATCAGAAGCACATATTCTGAGCACCTCTGGGCATGGGCCATAGTGCTAGGGTGTGGGGACACAGCTGGAGGAAATGAGACGTGGTCCCCAACTCCTAGAGCTTTGAGTGCAGTCCATGGACTGACACAGACACCATCATTGCTTCTTTCCAATTCTGGCTGGACTCCGAGGAGGACACAGGGACCAGAAGGAGCCCCTGAGGGAGCCGGGCCAGAGAGGGGTTCTCCAGCAGCTAAGGAAGGAGCTGGGAGGGCTAGGTGAGCAAGTGGGAGGTGGGGAAGGGCAGGGAGGAGGGACGATGTCCCCGACAGGAGGAACAGCGTGTGAGTGCAGCCAGGTGGGGAGACAGGTCAGCCTGGAGGTCAGCCCAGCCCATCCCAAGTCAGTCCCCGTTCCACCACCTCCTACCCGTGTGGTTCTGGCTGAGTAACTTAAGGCTGCCAAGCCTCAGTGCCCCAGTCTGTAAAGGAAACTCAAAGAAACTCTCTGAGGCCCTGCACAGGGGAATATTTAGCAAAGCAATGTCCTAAGCCAAGGCTTGCTTTCAGTGACGACATCAGACTGGGGAGTGGAAGAGCCTCTGGCAGTGGCCAAGGTGCCTGCTGCTGGTGTCTACTCGGTCACTTCACCTCCCTGTGACCACCCTCAGGTTCCCCACCAAGTGAGAGACTCCATTCCCAGTTGCAGGAAAGTCACATTCAGGGGCAGATGGCACAAGGATGGGGAGGCAGATCTCACCTGGTAAGGGCAGAGACTGAGGAGACACAGTCCTTAGCTGCTCCCCTCCTCTGGCCCCCAGCAGATTCCCCAGGGCCATGGCCTGTCCTGCCCCTGGGTCCTTGGGAAGCAGACCCCGGCCACTTTCTGGAAGGGTGAGTGGGAAGCATGGCTGCTTTGCAGCAGCCCCTGCCCCACTCTGGTCCCTACCACTGACTATGCCTTTAATGCCCTGTCTGCCTGCAGCCTGCATCTCTCCTCAACCCCAACCTCCCCACCCACCTGCTCCTCCTCACCTCCACCTTGGTGTCCAACTGTCACCCAAACGGAACACCATCAAAAAGGAAGCCCTGATCCCCACCTGTGCCCCTCGAATGCCCCCTGCACCACGGGGCCCATTTCAGGGCTGAGCAGTGCCAATCTTGTACTTGCTGGGGAACAGAGCCGGGCAGTGTCCTGGGCCCCTTGCCTTCTACTCTGCTCCACTCCACACCTGTTGAGTCCCGTGGTTCCGAGTCCAAACACTTGGTACCACCATGTGGCTACCACCCAGGTTCAGCCCACTGAGGCTATTGCAACCGCCTCTGGACTTCCCCCAGATCTCTGCACCAAAGCATCAGTGTTTTCCAAGAGATGAAGTGTATGTGCAGCCACACTGTTCCTCAGCTGGAGACCCCTCCTCCCCTGTGCATCTCAGCTCCCGCCAAGCCAAAGCAGCCTTACTGGCACAGTGCTCTCAGGGCCTTTGCACGGGCTGTGATCCTTCAGCCCAGGGTGCTCTTCCCCCACAAACCACTCTGTCACCTTTTCCAGGCTTCTCTGCCATCATCTCAGGGAGGGCTTGTCTGGCACCCCACTCTACATGCTAACGCTCCCCAGCCCCCATTCCTGCTTTCTGTCTCTTCACAGAACTTGATCCCTTTGAGGCAGGGATCTTTGATTTGTTTGGGGTGAGGATACCCAGTAAACATCTGTTGAGTGACTGGCTCCTGTGATTCAAGCAATGATGAAGCACTGGGCGTCTCACCTTGGAAAGATGCCAAGGGGCCTTTTGTGAGACCCAGAGCAGCCTTTGTGAGGGGCCTGACACCCCTCTTTGTTCCAGGCCCTGCCGCAGGCCCAGGCACCAGGAGACAGACAAGAGGTAAAGAGGGAGGCTTCAAAGGACTCCAGTTCCCCACTTACTGTGTGAACTTGGACCCTACCTCCAGGTCCCCAGTACTCAGTTTCCTCACCCATAAAACTGGAGTGCATTATGGGTTTAATTACATCTCCCCAAAAGATATGTTAAGTGCCAACCCCCGAGAATATGACCTTATTTGGAAATGAGGACTTTGCAGATGGAATTTGTTAAAGTGAGGTCAGGCTGGAAGAGGGTGAGCCCTAAATCAAAAGGCCGTCATCCTGTAATAGGAGGAAAATCTGGACACAGACACGGAGGAAAGAGACCAGCGTAGGGAGATGGGAACAGAAGCCAGAGTGACATTGATATGGCCACCAGCCAAGGGACACACGAGGCCACCAGAGGCTGGAAGAGGCCAGGAAGGGTCCTTCCTCCTCTTCAGACTGCCAGAGGGAACGTGGTCCCTCAACACCTTGATTTCAGACTCCGGGCCTCCTGACCGTGGGAGAATTCGGCGCTGTCCTCTTTAGCCACTCAGTCTTTGAGGTTTTGTTCATGCGGCCCCAGGACACTGATGGCCCCAATCTTCATGCCTTGGCCAAGAGACACTACTTAGAGCCTTCCAACTCCTCTGACCTCTGCACTGGGACCTTAGGGCCACCTGCTCCGCCTCCCAGACATGGCCGCAGAAACACAGACAAACCTTTCACCAGGTTCTTCTGAATCCATCCAGGCCAGCCAGCCCTGGCTTCCC